GTGTAAACTCACTATTGTTGATCTCAAGCCCTAGAAGATTAAATTAATTGTTTTTTTAAAGATGAGTTCCCTGGGCTTTTAAATCATTCATTATATAGATCAAAAACAGTCAATTCTGATTAATATATTGCTTAACTATGCATGGTTTTGCAAATAGTACAATCATTTTAATGGTAAAAATTGATGGCTATTGTGAAACTGTGACATGAAAGCTGATAAAAATGCAATGCAATGAAAACTGGTTTATCTGCAGTAATTTCCTGCAGTCTGGTTTGACTAGATTCAGCCAAGCTTCATTTAAAACGTCAATAAAGCTCAATATTGCTGATGTCACACCATTTCGCTTGAGTCCACAGCTCGTGATAAACACTCATGAGAACTGTATGGAAAACACGAGTTCCTTAAACACATAGGAACTTCTGGCCTTGTGTGAGGAGAATGTGGCTGATGTATTTTTCACGAACTTACACAACACGTCCAGAACAAGCTGGTATGAGCGGTATTTACTGTAAACCTGTGTTTTCCTTCCTACAAAAAGTACAAACCCCGCCCATCTTATGACTTTCAGTTCGCACTCTATATGAATTATCATATAAGTAAATGAGGAGTCAGTTTGTTGGGCTCGTGTCGACAGATCTGCGTTCATGTACAATGGGCTTCAGCGTGCTCGTGTCCGCGTGCGCGTGTGTTTGTGTGTGTGTTTATGTGTCTGCTGCACCGCTGGGAGACGAGGCTGAAAACGACAGACCTATCATCGGTAAAAACTCATGTCTTTATGCTATAAATAACACAGATATGCAGTGATTTTTACCTCAGAGTGTTTTATTTGACTTTTTGTTGCCAGAGCTTACTCTTATTTCCTCAGTCTGCGATCAGACGCACTTAGTTCTTAAAGGGGCAGTTCACCCAAAAGTGAAAGTCCTGTCATCGTTATTCAAACTCCACTTGTTACCAACATGTTTGGGTTTCTTTCTTTTGGTGAACACTAAGAAAAAATGAAAAATACTGAATGAAAATATACTGAAAAATACTGGGAAAAATTGACTTTAGCCATTTTTGTTCTACTATAGATGTCAATGGCTGCCTTTTTCAACATTGTTAGGAATATTTTGTTTGGTGTTGGTGGTTTACTGTGTTTTCTGAATAAATAACAACAAACGTGTGCTAGTAAATCTGATGCATATTCCTTTTATTCACCTGTGTAGGGATTTTGACGCAAGAAGTGGACAGTGAGGTTATGAGAAAGTTCGGGAACACATACATCCCTTCATCATATGTGAAGTACATCGAATCCGCTGGAGCTAGAGTTGTGCCAATTAGGTAAGCCTGGCTTATTAATAATTAATTTGCTGCAGCAATGTTTAAAAGGCTCATTTTCCTCAAGGAATAAAGAAGAGGTATTTGATACTTTTGTTACAGACTTTATTTGACAAGTTTGTGGGTTGATAAATTAAATTTTGTTGGATTTTTAGTTTGACATTATTCATATAAAGTCATGAAAGTGTCTCTCTTCAAGTAATTCAAAGTAAGTCGAAGATGTGCTGTTTAAATTTGAGTTGTGGCTGGATAGGCGTCCACTGTGCCAGAATGGTTGGCGGTTCATTCCGCTGTGGTGACCCACTGATAAATCAGGGACTAAGCCGAAGGAAAGTGTTAAAATTTGACACAACTGTGCATTTAATACAACAATAACATTGTTTTAATTTTTTTTAGACTATTACATTTACTTTTTAGTTAGGATAACATTAATCAAAAGTTTTTCTTACGTTTCATTCATTCATTCATTCATTTATTCATTCATTCATTCATTTTCTTTTCGGCTTAGTCCCTTTATGAATCAGGGGTCGCCACAACGGAATGAACCACCAACTTATCCAGCATATATTTTATGCAGTGGATGCCCTTCCAGCCGCAACCAAACACCATGCTCGTTCTTAATCCTCGCACTGCAGATGCTGTTTAACTGTTTCCTCACTAGAGAAGCGTTCAGTTTTTACTTACAAAGTCTGCCATGTAATTATCAAACGCACCATGGTGCGACAAAACTGACTCTTAAAGCTAACGAGAGATGAGACTCTGATTGGTTTAATGCAGGTTATGCTCAAAACACACCCAGAACTCATTTAGAGAATAAGCTCAACCATGTTAGACCATGCGCCGAGGCACAGGGTATAATTTTCCATCCTTTAAATACCAAAAGTGGATTCAGACACGCCCTTAATGCTTTTGCACCATGCGTATTCGATTTTAGATTGTTAAAATAGAAAAAGTCTTATGATAAAATTTTATTCATATCGCAAAATAAAAAAATATCGCCATGTTAGATTTTTCCAATATCATGCAGCCTCTCATGTTAGCAGGGAAGCGTCCATGGCATTCATGTGCTTTATTTAATAAGGAAATAATGTTCATTATATTCATATATCATTAGCATGTCATTTATTAATAGCTTTTTAAAAAAAATAAACATTATTTATTGAAACATCAACCGTCAAAGTCAATTAAGAAGAGATTGTATGAGTGCACTAATGAAGTTATTAAATTAAACTGATTTAAAGTTATGAAAAGTGTACTTTTAAAGAATCTTAGACTGCTGAATTTAACAAAATGTGCTGTTTGACCAAAACTAATAAACATACATCTCCTATTACAGGCTAAACCAGAGTTTTGCAGAACATGAAAAGCTCTTCAAGTCAATAAATGGGTACGTTCTCCTCATATTTATCAGAGTATTATCAAAGCTATACATGTCATCAGTGTTATGATGATGTTATGATCATTATCTTCCCAGTATTTAAGCCAGTAGAGAAAATGATGCATCATAGTACTGAACATGATTATTACACGCTTGACAATAACATTTCTGATGAACACTAGAGCTTTTAAGCTGGAACTACCTAAATTGGACCAGATCTTCAGATTGTTCTGGTCACTACATCATTTATAATCTATCGGGGTTAATCTCTACAAAATAAATTCAAATGAACAAAGTTAAATTGAGCCAAGATATGATGTAACTAATACTTGTCACAGATGTATTTGTTCTAACTAATCTTAGACAACATGTCTGCCTAAAAACAACAATATAAATCATCACAGAAGTTCTAATGGTTTTACTAGAAATTCTATTGGTTGTAATGGAAATTGTATTAATTGGTTCTGTGTGCCTCTGCTGCCTCCTGTTGGGAAATGAAGCTAATAAATATTCATGGAATATGTAAAAATCCCACTCGAAAGCATAAAACGACTAGTATTGATGGTTAAAATGTGAGAAAGGCATTTTACTTGAAGTGGAAACCGTTGAAATCTTCTGTGATATTCTGTGGTATTAGGCTAGAAAATTGTGTTGAAACATGCACAGCAGAGTGCTAAATCATGTTAGCAACATGTTTAAATGTTAAAACATTACCTTCGCATAGCAAAGTGAACTCAACAAGCTACAGTAGTGAATTATGCTACATGTTAGCAACTTTCCAAAGCACGTTAACATTCCGCTACATGTTAGCAGCTTGTTTTAGCACATAATAAACATGTTAGCAACTTGTTTAAATGTTAAAACATTAAACGATTGTAGTCTAATACAGTAGTCGATTGTGCTATGTTAGCAACTTGTCAAAACATGTTAGCACCTTGTTTAGCACATAATAAACATGTTAGCAACATGTTAAAACAAGTAATTAGCTACAATAGTCAATTGGGCTACATGTTAACATCTCGCCAAAACATGTTAGCATTCTGCTACATATTAGCAGCTTGTTTTAGTATACAAAAAACATGTGAGCAACATGTTTAAATGTTAAAACAGTACCTTACTGTAGCAATTTGAACTAAACAATCTACAGTGGTCAATTGTGCTACATGTTAGCAACTTGACAAAACATTTTAACATGTTGCTACTTGTTAGCAGCTTGTTTAGCACATAATAAACATGTTAGCAACATGTTTAAATGGTAAGACATTATCTTAATGTAGCAAAATGAACTAAACAAGCTACAGTAGTCAATTGTGCTACATGTTAGAAGCTTTCCAAAACATGTTAACATTCTGCTACGTTAGCAGCTTGTTTAGAACATAATAAACATGCTAGCAACATGTTTAAATGTGAAAACATTACCAACCTGTAGCAATTTGAACTAAACAAGCTACAGTAGTCAATTGTGCTACATGTTAGCAACTTGCTAAAACATGTTAGCATTCTGCTACATGTTAGCAGCTTGTTTTAGCACTTAATAAACATGTTTAAATGTTAAACATCACATTTCAATACCTATATGAACGAAACAAGCTACAGTAGTCAATCGTGCTACATGTTAGCAACTTGCCAAAACATGTTAACTTTCTACTAGATATTAGCAGCTTGTTTAGCACATAATAAACATGTTAACAACATGTTTAAATGTTAAGACATTATCTTAATGTAGCAAACAGAACTAAACAAGCTGGAGTAGTCAATTGTGCAACATGTTAGAAGCTTGCCAAAACATTCTGCTACGTAAGCAGCTTGTTTAGAACGTAAAAAACATGTTAGCAACATGTTTAAATGTTAAAATATCTCAATATATCAATATGAACAAGCTACAGTAAGCAACTGTGCTAGATGTTAGCAACTTTACAAAACATGTTAACATTCTGCTACATTAGCAGCTTGTTTAGAACATAATAAACATGCTAGCAACATGTTTAAATGTTAAAACATTACCAACCTGTAGCAATTTGAACCAAAGCTACAGTAGTCAATTGTGCTACATGTTAGAAGCTTGCCAAAACATGTTAACATTCTGCTACGTTAGCAGCTTGTTTAGAACATAATAAATATATTAGCAACATGTTTAAATGTTAAAACATTACCAACCTGTAGCAATTTGAACCAAACAAGCTACAGTAGTCAATTGTGCTACATGTTAGCAACTTGCTAAAATTCATGTTAGCAGCTTGTTTTAGCACATAATAAATATGTTAGCAACATCTTTAAAGATGTAAACGATGTTGAAACATGCTAGCAATATGCTACAAATGCTATAGGTTAGGTTATTTAGGTTATCAGCTTATTAAAACAAGCTAGCAATGTGTTTAATCCTGCTGTCTTAACACATGATAACAAGGTTTTCTTAAACATGATTTAAAGTTTGTCTTGAAAGTTTTCATCTAGTTGGTTCTGTTTATCTCTATTTAGTCTATTGTGTCTTTAAATACAGTCATATCATATCTGAATGAAGCTTGGAATGTGGGAGTTAAGAGCTGTGATTTACATTAAAACACTATTATTCCATGTAAATTAATAGATAAACGTTTCCCTGTGTCTCTACATCAGTCTTTTTCTCATCGGAGGTGCAGTGAATCTGGAGACGTCTGACTTCGCTCGCACCGCTGGCTTTTACTTCAGACTTGCGCTTAAGGTAAAGCATGTGAATTACAGTATATTATGCATAACATTTTGCAAAATAATTAGATTTGTTTTCTTTGCATTTATGGATTTCTTTTTGCTTGTTACCAACATCTGGTAAAAATTTCAAGTCAACAGCACCTTTAGAAATATATTTTCGGAAGCAAACGGTGACGTGTTCAATACTTATTTTCCCCACTGTGTGTAAAGTCAAAATATGAATGTTAATGTTATATATGTCATTTGCATATTTCCATGTTTCATAGTTCTATATAGGTGTTTTTTATTTTGGTCTTCTTGATGTTAGCCATAGGTAGATACACTAGATATTGCATACAGACCCTGAGCATGCGTCAATATCGCCGCCACATTTGTACAGGGCTCCCAGAACAAAAGTCATTCAACCGGACTAGTCAAGACTAAAGCCAATGTTAAAATGCTGGACTGTTGCGCTGTGTACAGGTGTAGTAATGAGCAAACAAAGAAAACAAAGCACAAAGGCAGAACATTTCATAGGCAGGTCATTTTCATAAGTTCATGTTATGAACTTTTGTGCTCAACAAGTTTTGATGATTATACAGTCTCTTACTGCCCTGACCATAAAGCAAAGGAGCACCAACTTGCACTGAATACTAGGCCTATGCTAGTTTTGGTGAATAAAATAAGCTAACAATGGAAATGAAATATGACAACAAGACGCTGCGCTATCAGAAACTTGTATTATTGTCGGCTAAGTGAACGAGTCATTCATAACGGAGATTCATTCACAAACGAATCGCTCCCTCCATTAGCAACCCGGGCTCATTGTGGAAACGTAGCCCCGTGGACGTTTCTGCGGACCGCGATTTACGTCCCGGGAGGTACGTATTCAAGCGGTTTTTGTTTTCGCGGATCCGCGAGAGGCGGCTGTGCGCGCTTATTCACGTCTCGGGCGGGCGCCTCTCGGGAGCGCGCGCCGTTCGCGCCCGCGCCGTTCTCGCGCGAATAGCCGCTGGATCGGCCGACTCGGCCGCCCTCCTCTTCCTCCTCCTCCTCCTTCCCTAAACCCGACCGACGGTTCGCAAAAGCCGTCCAGAAAAAAAAAAAGCAAAAGCCCTCGTCTTCGATTTCGACCGCGTTTTCGGATGCCGCCACGTTCTCGCCCTTATTTTTTCGGATTCCGTTTTTCGTCTTACCTGATTTCCGGAACCTGCTGTTCCCCGGACTCGATCCCGGTCGTCGTCCACCGCGGCCGGCTCCTCCTCTTCCGGGGCCTCCGCTCCGCCGACGCAACGCTGTGAGCTAAGCGGACAAACTGATTGCATCGGAAAAGCCCTCCACTCGGAGGCGAGCCGTCGGCCGGCTAGCGCGAAGAGAAGGGGCGAAGCGGCGCCACACCGCCCCGCAGCGTTCGCTCGAAAAAAACCAAACGCGGCCTTTACGTACCTCCGGCCACGTAAAATCGCGGTCTCCAGAAACGTCCGCGGGGCTACGTTTCCAGAATGAGCTTGGGTTGTCCATTAGAATGAGAAGTGAAAGCAGGAGAGGGGGGGGGGGTGTAAGCGACATCTATGTAAATATCAATGGATGTTAGCAAGGTGTTTGTTTTTTAGGCGAATGATCAAGGCGACTACTTTCCCATCTGGGGAACATGTCTGGGGTTTCAGCTGCTCACTGTGCTGGTGGCTGGAGAAAACCTGCTGAGTAAAACCACTGCAGAGAACGTCACATATCCACTCAACTTCAGCTCAGGTGCGTACTGTCAACATCTATAATTAATCAGTTCTTATTATACACAACTAAAGGCAAACTTAATAGTCCTCGTGTGAAATTTTGCCCCAGCCGAGGCTCGAACCAACTACCTTTTTGCTGTGAGGCGATCGTGCTACCCACTGCGCCACCATGTCCCCTTTGCCATTATGACAGTACATAATATTTTACTATACTTATTTAGGCAGTTGCTAGGGTGTTCGGAGTGGTTGCTAGGGTGTTCTGAGTGGTGGTTGGGCGGTTGCAAGGGTGTTCTAGGTAATTACTAGCATGTTACTAAGTGGTTTCTAAGGTCCTCTGAGTGATTGCTAAGGTGTTGCTAGGCAGTTGCAAGGTGTTCTGAGTGGTTACTAAGCAGTTGCTAACATAAATTAGCATGGTTTTAACTTGAATTAGCATGGTTCTAGTATAAATTAGCATGCTAGCATGTTTCTAGTATAAATTAGCATGTTGTTAGCATGGGTTTAGTATGATTTAGCATCTTGCTAGGTTGTTCTAGGTGGTTACTAAGGTGTTGCTAGGCAGTTGGTAAGGTGTTCTGATTGGTTGCTAAGGTGTGGCTAGGCAGTTGCTAAGGTGTATTGAGTGGTTGCATGCAGTTGCTAACATCAATTAGCATGGTTCTAGTTTGAATTAGCATGGTTCTAGTATGAATTAGCATGTTGCTAGCATGTTTCTAGCTTAAATTAGCATAATGTTAGCATGGGTTAAGTATAAATAAGCATGTTGCTAGGGTGTTCTAGGTTGTTGCTAGGGTGTTTTAGGTGGTTACTTAGGTGTTGCTAGGCGGTTGCTAAGGTGTTCTGAGTGGTTGCTATGCATTTGCTAACATCCATTAGCATGGTTCTAGTATGAATTAGCATGTTGCTAGCATGTTTCTAGTTGAAATTAGCAAGTTTTTAGCATGGGTTTAGTATGAATTAGCATGCTGCTAGAGTGATCTAGATGGTTGCTAAGGCGCTGCTAGGTGGTTGCTAAGGTGTTGCTAAGGTGTTCTGAGTGGTTGCTATGCAGTTGCTAACATCAATTAGCATGGTTCTAGTTTGAATTAGCATGTTGCTAGCATGTTTCTAGCATAAATTAGCATGTTGGCATTTCAGTGTGGAGTTTGCATGTTTTCCCTGTGTTGGCGTGGGTTTCCTCTGGGTGCTCCGTTTTCCCCCACAGTCCAAACAAATGCGCTATAGAAGATTTAGGTAAGCTAAATTGTCCGTAGTGTATGTGTGTGAATGGGTGTGTATCGGTGTTTCACAGTGATGGGTTGCAGCTGGAAGGGCATCCGCTGTGTAAAACATATGCTGGAATAGTTGGCGGTTCATTCCGCTGTGGAGACCCTTGATGAATAAAGGGACTAAGCCGAAAGGAAAATGAATGAATGAATGAACTAGTATTCTGCTTAAAGTGCAATTCAAAGGCTTTACTAGGTTAACTATAAGCAAGTCATTATATAGACAAATAAAAAGTAGGTATTTTAAATTGTAATAATATTCCTAATTTTAATCAAATTAAGATTTGTTGAGCATTAAAAACATATTAAAGAGACTTTCAAAAACATATTTGTTTGTGTCCACTTACAGAGGCTCTGTCCAGCCGGATGTTTAGCAGCTTTCCATCTGAGCTCCGCAGAGCCCTGTCTGAGGAACCGCTCACTGCAAACTTCCACCATTACGGAGTGACTAAAGAAGTATAACATTACACACACGCACACACACACACACACACACACACACACACACACACACACACACACACACACACACACACACACACACAACTCATTTAAATCCTGATAACCAGAACAACAAACAATAACAAACTCTTCCTCTTTTTTTAGGCTTTCATGAATAATGAGAAACTCACTGGCTTATTCTCAGTCATCTCCACAAACATCGCACAAAATGGCGCTGAGTTTGTTTCAACCATAGAAGGTAAACAATATATATATATAATGGCCGAATAATAAATTCAAATTCAAATGCAGTACCTAGACGAGTAGTAGGCGAATTCGGACGCAGCCAACAAGTGTAAAATCCCAGTAAAAACCAGGCCAATCAGAACAAAATTCAGACTCTGTCCATTTAAATTGGATCATTAATATGCAAATCCCAGACTGAGTTTGATTGGTCGCAATGTTTTCTAGTGAGTTTACAACAATATTTATCGCCCTTTATTTTTTAATATATTAAACTGACTATTCAGTGCTCAGCATATATGAGTACACCCCTCACAAATCTCTCTGTACCCACTGTATGGGTGTTTAATGCACATTCATGCATCGTGTCATATCTCTTCGCTCTTACTGTGATTTTATTTGAGTGAACAGACGAGTATAAAAATCAGAGGTTGATCTTAATTCCTGGCTGTGTTTTCACATATGATAAAGCTTCAAAATACAACCCTAAATACATCTCTGTCGGCCCTTTTGTTGAGTATAATTATAATTTAGTTCATAATGTATCCACAACACAACTACTAAGATATACACTCTGTTGGCTTAAAGTTATCTCACTCACTCCTTCTAGCTAAAATAAACCTCTACACCACTTCGCTTGAAAAGATTTAACCAACATAGGGTCATTCGGAAAACGTAGCCCTATATACATTTCTGGAGATCATGAAATATGTAGCCAGAAGTACGTATGACTGTATTTCGTTTTTAAAATGAACGCTACGGTTCCTTTTCAGGCTTACCAGCCAACCGCTTACCTTTATATGGACGGTTTTACCGCTGTCATCAGTTTGTCTAGTGGCTTACCATGTACGTCAGCGGACTTGAGATGCAGTGGAGTTGACCACGAGGACAGGCTTCGAGTCTGGTGACGAATGGTTATAGAAAGCAGGAAAGACAAAAACAGAAGGCAAAAAATAAAATGAACAAGTAAATAGCAGGGTGAGAATGTGGTCAGATCTGAAAACGTGCTTTTGAAAACACTATTGGTTGGGTTTAGGGAAGTGGGTGGGCGGGTAAATCTGTGGTTTTGAAAACTATTCGTTGGGTTTATTGAAGGAGGAGGGTGGGTCAGTCAGTTCTAAATTTATACAGTTATACAGTTCTAACTTTATACGTGATGGCGAAGGTCTCGGAAAGCCATGACTCGAAAAATCGCGTAGGATTTTCATCTTCTATGCCCTCAGGTAATCCAATAATTCGGATATTCTTCCATCTGCCCCTGTTTTCGATATACATTTGCAGTAGCTGTAAAATCAGCTTCATTTGATCATCTATAAGTATAGAGATAGTAGCTGTAATCTCCGCAACCGCCTGCAACAGTGGGTTTGTGGATGAGGTCGTGTTAGCGCCGTCAGGATGTTCGTCAGCCTCTTCACAGCTGGTAAACTGCGTTTTTGTGCGTGGCATATTTTCTGATTGCCTCAGAAAGTAGTCATCTAAGCTCATATTGCAGAATGCTAAGTCTGCACGTGTAAAAATTTAGTCTACTGAAAGCTTTGAAATAAAATATGACAATGTGACACTATCGCTTAACTACACAGGAGCTGCGTCCGAAACCGACTACTACTCAGTAGGTACTGCATTTGAATTTAAACGTACTACTCGGTTGTTAGAAAAGTACGTTCTATACAGTATAAATGTGAAAAGTATGAATGGAATTCGGACGTACTACATCCGCCATTTTGTCATGGTCACGTGACCTACCTGCGTCAATTGTGTCGCTTCACTCCCATTCATATATTCGCTCGCAGGGCATCATGGGATAGCGCAGCATATATGGGATGCGCACTCTAGAATCTCGCCGGAAGTAGTAAGTCATCCGGGTACTTCTCGGTTACCGATTTTCGAATTCTATGAATTCGGACATACTAATCGGCTCGCATACTGATTTTAGTGTACTATATAGTATGGAAGTATGCGGTTTCGGACACAGCCATAGCCTTCCTTTAAGCCGCCATCTTGGAACCAGTTAGTTGACAGTGGCCTCTGGTGGATTTACGTGAGAACAGCAGGCATGAATGGCCCTCGTGAGAGAAATTTGAGATCTGAAAAGGCGTAAACAGCACCCTCTGGTGGATTCACAAAAACTGCAAAAAAATATAGCTCCTGAAACGTTTTTGGCGCTCTCCAGAAATGTATATAGGGGTACATAATCAGAATGAGCCTGGGTTGTATTTAAGTCAACTTTTTAATTTGTATGTTTATTTTTTTAAATGCCATTGGTCTGCAGGCAGAAAATATCCTTTCTACGGTGTTCAGTGGCATCCAGAAGTGAACCGCTTTCAGTGGAACCCGCATTACAGCTTCCCTCACTCCAGCAATGCTGTTCACGTGTCTTCATTACTGGCTCAATTCTTTGTAAATGAGGGTAAACACAGGCTCTTAATTCACTCATGTTATAATTCCTCATTTGGATGAACAAATATAACGATAAAGGAACTGATGTGTGTGTTTCAGGGAGGAGAAGCACTCATCGGTTCAGTGACGCAGCAGAAGAAAGCGCCGTGCTCATTTACAACTGCAATCCTGTTTATGTGGAGAAAATCTCTGCATATGAACAGTCCTATTTCTTTTAAAGACACAAGAGTTTTGCACAACACATGTAGCCTGTAATAATGACAGACAGACCTCATATTTAAAGTGACGTACGGTTCACTCTAAAGAACTAAAATTGAGGCAATAAAAGGAAAAAGTAAATGGATGTTTTTTTTCCCAGCATTATTTAGAATTAAGTTTGGAACAAGTGAGGAATGAGGACATTATGACAGGACTTTTATTTTTGGGTGAACTGTCCCTTTAAGAACATAATCCAGCTATGTTTTCAGAATGTTGTGGCAAGGTTATGAACAGTTTTTTCTTTTAGTAATCATAAAAAACTGTATTCTGTCAGTGTTATCTAGTCTTACTAATCATTTGTAACAGTAATCAGTCTCAAAAGTTGTTGTTAGTTTTGTTATTAAAACTATTATGTTTACAAAAATGTTGAAAATCGTCTTTTGTTAAAGGTAATTTGGAAAATATGATTGAAATAATTACAGTTACACTTGAGTGCTTATCATTTTGACATCACTAGGCTACATAATACAGTATAATAAACTCTATGGCTTAATCTGAAAAAGTCTCTAATGCAAATTAAAAACAAAAAGAATGATTTAATATTAGATTTCATGAAGGAATTTTTTCCCCGCTGTAGTCGATGATGGTATCCTAAGTTATTATTTTAGTTTATATGTATAGAAGTATTTTGTAATATTTTTATTTTTTTATCTTATTTATTATTATTATTATTTTTTTTTTTTTGCATTTTTTTATTATTATTTTTTTCTCCTGTTATATATTTACTTCATTATTTTTGGTTCTTGTAATGTTTATGGATATAATATATATCTGAATTATTGTATTTTTACTTTATGTAATGTTTCAAAACTATAATAAAAAAAGGTTTAAAAAATAAATAAATAATAATAATAAACTCTATGTCTAAATTACTATAGTATTTTTCATGTGGTTATACTAGTTTATCAGTTAGTTTACTGTAGTTAATACAAAAGTATTGAAATATAATTTGTCATCGTGGCGAAAAAATAGTTATTTAAATAAGCTCCATGCCGCGTTAAACATCACTGGGAGAATAATCAAAACTCCACAGGATGGCTAATAGTTTTTAACTGTACACACCACAATATAATAAGCTCAATAGTCAAAAACACACTATTAACTATAAATTACTATAGTATATTTGATGTGGGCCGTGTGAGTGTGTGTGTGTGTGTGTGTGTGTGTGTGTGTGTGTGTGTGTGTGTGTGTGTGTGTGTGTGTGTGTGTGTGTGTGTGTGTGTGTGTGTGTGTGTGTGTGTGTGTGTTCGTCATGAGTGCAGCAGTAGATTGGCTCTCCTCAGTGCCCATCACTCCGTCTGGGAGGGACTTTTATCTGCTCTTGTTTAGTTCTCAATGGATGCCAACATCAGCCACGACACGAGATCCGATCACATACTGTAAATATATATAGAAATAAAATCAGATGCGAGACGAAGCGCGTTTTCTTAGCGTCGGATATAACGTTAAAAGCGCGCGCTCGCCAGAAGTAATGTCGTGTGTTTAATAATGTGTTGGTCTGACTGGACTGAAATGACCATAAAGACGAAGTGATTGTGTTTTGGGTGAATCCAGATGTGATGTATGGCCTGACAGAGAGACAGACAGGCGGAGGGCATCGTCTCTGTTTATAAACACACGGATCTTCATATAGGAATCAGATATATGGGGGATTAATGCACCCTTTCCAGTGGTGCAACGGTAAGATCACCTTCATTCTTCCCGAAATACGATGGGAATTCATTTATGTATATGTAACTAATAATAATGTGATTTTGCTATATGGGTCAATGACAAAATTGAGGATAAAATAAGGTAAAGTTGGTTTTATATTCGCATATTAACCTTAATATTATAGCTTGTTTCAGTGAAAAGTGCTAATTCTAAATAGAGAAATCATATTAGCAGCTTATGACTATCAACATTGTTCACGGTCAGTTATTAAATAGTGCCAATGTTGTTTAAAAGTCATACTTACATGCGCTTTCAGACCTAATATACATAATATAGAGAGTGTTAAAATGAAAGAATGTGCGAATATAAAACCAACTTTACCTCAGTAATGACAATGGATGATTGATGTAAACAAAGAGAAACGTGTTTTAAAAGAAATGTAATGATTGGATTGTTACATGGTTTTGTGTGTTATGAAAACAATTCAGATTCTCTACTAAAACAGTTTATTGAGGTGGTAAACACAAAATGTCAGGTGGTGTAACACTTTAGTATTAAAATACACTGACAAAATGGTGAAAAAATCAATTAATTATTAGATTTCAAAGTTAATGAATTTAACAAGTTTTTTTAGTTCAAACTTCAGTGTTTTCCTGTAAAATGTATGTCAATAGTTCTTAACTTTGATAAATAAATTTTACAGTGCACTTTTTTGTACATTGAAATGCACTTCAGGCTTTATATAAAAAAATATATATTACACATTTTAAAATAGATATCTTAAAATTTTTATATCTCTGTAATGTATATTATTATGTTATTATTTTATTATTTAGTTTATTCTTTTTATTCTTTTAGTTTTATTTTATATATTATTATATTAGCCATATATTAGTTGATAATATATAATATAATATATACACACACACACACACACACACACACACACAGTTTAAGTCAGAATTATTAGCCCCGCTTCAAATTTTTTTCTTTTTTTAAATATTTCCCAAATGATGTTTAACAGAGCAAGGAAATTTCCACAGTATGTGTGAAAATGAAAATGTCTTATTTTTTTATTTTGGCTAGAATAAAAGCATTTTTAATTATTTAAACACCATTTTAAGGTCAAAATTATTATCCCCTTTAAGCTATATATTTTTTGATAGTCTACAGAACAAACCATAATTATACAATAGTATAGTATAGAACTGTCTAGAAGAATATCTTGTCAAATATTATTTACTGTCATTATGGCAAAGATAAAAATAAATCAGTTATTAGAAATGAGTTATTAAAACTATTTTGTGCATAAATGTGTTAAATAAAATCTTCTCTCCTTTAAATAGAAATTGGGGGAAAAAATAAACTGGGGGCACTTATTATTATTATTATTATTATTATTATAACTAAACTGAAAATATTACACCACTCATATCAGATCTTGAATTAATCAGATCTCTTTGAATTAATATTTTATATAGGATGCTATTATTTACTCTATATGCTTTTATATAGGATAATATATTTGTGCATATATACATTAGTTTAGTCAGTACCAAAGCCAAAAGGAACTAATCTAACAAAAACACTTCCAAATTAATATAATGAGGGAAAATATAAAAAAAATCAGGAAAATGTTAAAAAAAGTACAAAAAATAAAATAATTTTACCCATATACCAGATCTTTTTCAGTTAATATACGTTTATCATTGTCACTCTCCAAATGCTATACACATACTGTACACAGATTTAAAAAGCTTAATAGAGCATATGCACATTTTGACACTTAAAAAGGTAAACACTTTAACAGTATATATATATATATATATATATATATATATATATATATATATATATATATATATGTGTGTGTGTGTATATATATATATATATATATATATATATATATATATATATATATATATATATATATATATATATATATATGTGTGTGTGTGTGTGTGTGTGTGTTTGTATATATATATGTCTATATATATGACACGGAGCAGCAGCATCCGTTTTCGACGCTCAAAAGCTCAGGCGTAGTGTGGACGGATGGTGTAACCTTAGCAAAACTTATGCGTTTTAAAACTAAAACGTATTAGTGTAAACAGGGCCTTAATTTCTTTGTTTAAATTCAGCCCATATAAATTGTTAACAAAACTTATAACTTAAAATAAAAACACGCAAACCCAATGAATCCTAATTTTCAGTGCACCACCATGCTAGAAACGCGTCTCACAATATAGGTCAGCAGGTTTGCCAAGAGGCAGTGTGTGCTGTGTTTGAGGATCTGCTTTGGGAAATACACGAAAAGCGCAGCTGAAATGTGGAAAAGTGGACACTTGAGGCTGTGTCGTGAGTATTGAAACACTGCGACCCTGCGGGACGGCCTCCACAAACACTGCCTTCAAACTCAAGCAAACACGGCTGCTAAATGGCAAGCAGCTATAGTGACCTAGTTGTGCTGGAACATTTATATGGATGTATGTCTCTCCCACACACCCACTCACCCTTCTGTCTGTTTTATTTTTTATTTATGATCCATTGCAAACAGCAGAGAAGAATGGGGGCGCGCGCACTTTCTGTCTGCTGCTACTTTTATAGTATAACACTTAAGTGTGTTTAAAGAGGATATTATAATTGAGGATAATCTCATAATTGGAAACACCTTAATATTAAACACCTTACTAATGTCCTTAATTTGTAATAAATATGTTTGTGTTGGAGTTTGCATGTTCTCCCTGTGTTGGTGTGGGTTTCTTCCGGGTGCTCCGGTTTCCCCCACAGTCCAAACACATGCGCTATAGGGGAACTGGGTGAGCTAAATTATCCGTAGTGTATGTGTGTGAATGCAAGAGTGTATGGGTGTTTCCTACTGTTGGGTTGCAGCTGGAAGGGTACCCGCTGTGTAAAACATATGCTGGATAGGCTGGCGGTTCATTCAGCTGTGGTGGTCCCTGATTAATAAAGAGACTAAGCCGAAAAGCAAATGAATTAATGTTTGCGTCACCAATCTATCTCAATATGGTCAACTTTTGTGGTGTGGTCAGTTTGCTCAGTCGCTCACCTTGTATGGTGTTGTATTTGTAATGCAGAGCTCTCAGGTTCACCTCAGGTGAAGCATACTTCCATAAAAAAGATAATATAAGCAATATAAAATCAAGGTAAAACTATATGATCACAGTTCTTTTTTTTATTATGCCAGATTTAGAAAACACTAATGGTTGGCTTTAAGGAAGGGTTTTTTAGCTGATCTGTATCACAAGCCCTGCCATCTTATGGACATAAACGAGAAGGACGTGTGTCTGAAATGTTTTCACTCATCATTGTACATGTGCTGCTGCTGATGTCACAGTAAAAGTGATTTGATCACTACAAAATGTATACTCAATAACGTATTTCATATTCACGAAAATGTAGACAGTGCCCTCTGGTGGATTAGTGAATTTGTGCATTGAAACCTACCCAGAGGAATGTATTTTATGTTAGGGAAAAATGTAGACTAACGCCTGTTTTACACCGCAAGCGTCAGCGGCGCGTGAGCAGCGCGTGTGTTTTCGGCGTCCATGTTAACAGATTAGAGCTTTCATACCGCACGCAGCAGCAGCGCGTCAGAGCGAGGCGTGAGCGTCGCCGAAGCAGCAGTGCAGCGATAGTTTCGGCCCTGGGTCTATTTTTGACGCGCTGCTCACGCTCAATTAAAGTGACAGTACATTGATAATGACCAAAACACATTGAATGACAGTAAAAAGTAGCAATTTTACCCAATAAATGCGTTAATAATGTCAAATGGTTTATATATAGTCATTCAAATGAACTTAAAACGATTAAAAACGGCAACAAACATTTATTTAGGCCCGAACTTCAAAACCAAATGTAAAACTATTTTACTATCAGTTTTGCTTAAGTTGCACACTAGTGTTGTAGGAGAGGGGAAATGGAATATTTACGGGATTTGTAGTCCAATGTTTGATTCTACGATATTTATGTAAATCAATAAATTGTTTGCTTAATTAAGTCGGGATGTTTTAAACTAAACAGATGGTTTGATAGATGGTAAAGATGTTAGAAAAGACTGCATTTTAAATAAATGCATTTTATTCATCAAAACGAATGCTTTTACTAAGATGTTTTCAGCGTTGTAATAAGAAATGTTTCATGTTAGAAAGAAAGACTTTTGAAGGATCATATGACACTGAATTTTAAAATGTATTAAAACGTTAGCAACATTTTTTATATTTTATAATATACTTAATAAAATATACCAATTTATAGGAAAATCAAGCAGTGTTTTGAGTTATTTTAAAATATATCTTAAATATATATTAAATCAGCATAGAGTGCATGTGATGTATTTAACACAATCTTACGGCAATTCGTAACTTTTTGATTTAGTGGCTTTTTGAATTCATACGATTTGCTTATCCCCCAATGACGGTTAGGTTCAGGGGGCGGGGTTTGGTGCCACACCTCTTTTTTTTTAATCGTACATTTGCATATGACTGAACAAGTGCAAATTGATACGAATTAGTTGCTCTACTGTCAAAACGTAAAATAGTTACGTGTCCTTGTGAGAGCAGGCTGGTTTTATTTAACATTATTCTATGTTTTTTGAAAAGTTGTGTGTCCCTAAAGTTAATTACAATAAAACATACCCTAAGTAACATATTTCAAAATCACAAAAATGTAGACAGCGCCCTCTAGAGGATTTGCTATCTGAAACGTGCAACGAAACCTACCCAGAGCAATGTATTTTAAGTTTCGCTAAAATGTAGGTAGTTTCAGTCTGCTGCTGCTTTTATAATAATACTTAAGTGTGTTTAAGGAGAGGCACTTTGTTTGTTATATTACCTTTTACATTCAAACCTTGTGAAGTGTTATAAACTAATTTCGAGAGGAGAATGTGATATGATTGAACACGACTGGCTGCTCATATGTAATTAGTAATAATCCAATCAGGAGGATTTTAGCTTACAATAAATGTGTCGTTTTTTCCCTACTGCTCTATCTTCGTATTTGGAAGA